CCCTACCAAACAGTTCTAAGATAAAATGGAGGAAAAGTAAGGATCTAAAGATTCTGTTGGGAATTCTACGGAGATTAAAGTTGTCATTTTTACTGTTTTGTAAACTTTGTCGATATATATATTTATACATAGACCTCATGGATCGATGCTCATATTAATGCGCCTTGTTGAGCCTAGCAGGCTCATTTTCCTCTCAGAATGCAGATGTCGAGCTCCCCCTACTGACCTCATATGTTGAAGTGTCAACTGTGGGTTGACTTGCTCGGTTGAGCTGTCGAGTTGCCCTGTTGAAGTGCAGCAGTCGTGTTCCTGATGTAATGTTGATCTGTCGAGCTCATTTGTTGATGTCATTTAGCTAGCATTCTTTGTGGGCGAACAACATCTATGTCATTTCTGGGTCATCTGACATCTATGTCATTTCTGAGTCATCTGAAAATGGTACTTTCTTCACAAGTTTCTCTGGGTTGTATGAACCCACAAACGATGCGAGTCTCGATGTTCTACAAGGATTCAACATCTTGAAATGTGCGGTAAGCTTGGAATTCATACACAAATCTATCAAAGAGATCTTCAACGGAAGAAAGAATAAGGAGAAACGATTGTTGCACCAGAGTTCATGATACATCATGTCAATAAGTTAAAGGAGTAAGTGAAGACAATGATATAAGATTTCAGGAGTATATTTTCTAAAACTCACTTTAGATCCTGTTGTAGGACACATAAGATGATTAGGATCCTCGGCTCAAAGACAGCAGCTGCCATATATGAGGCTGAGAAAATCGCCCCCCTAAGGGTTAGATGAGGAAGAAGATGAGTCATGCATCCTAGAAGAAGATCCTAAATTTTGAGGCGAACAAGTGGATGGCAGAAAGAATAACCTAAAACATTGGAGAAAGTATTTTCAAGAGAGGCAGAGGCTGAAACACCAAAGAAGTTTAAGATTCTAGCATTAGAGTCTTACAAAGGAATATCAGATTCAGCTCATCATGTAGCTCTTTTTGAATCAGCTATTTGCTTACTAAGATTAAGCAAGCCTATGTCATTTCAAATATTTTGATTCATCGCCTTTTTAGTGAGTTTAAGCAACGTTCATGGCTTAGTGTGTCGAACACGAGCTATTCATGAACGTGTTTTTTACAATCCTACGTGCATGTAAAAGTTGAAGTTTATATGTTAAATGTTGTAATCCAATAAGAAATAAATTAGAGCAATGGAATTACTATAACACCCCTTTAAAATACTATAAAATATCTTCAAATTAATAAAAAGGTCTCTAAAATTCAATAAAAATTTCTTTCAAAATCTTTATATTAATTCGTGATCACCAAAAAAAACATTTATATTTTAAAAAGAGAGTCAATTATACTTCAAAAATAAAATAAAAATCTCACATGGAAAATTTGCTCCCCAATTCCACTTGTCTTCGTGGTGGCGAGTCTACTTGGAGGTGAAGTATCACATGGAAGTTGTGAAATATTGCTTTATATCCTTGTCATGCTATATATATATATATATATATATATATATACCCCACTCCTCTTCTATATATTTATAATATACTTTTATATCTAACACAAACTTTACATTTTACATTTAATTATATTGCCTAAATCTTACATATCATATAAATATTATCATAATTTTAACTTTTAAAAATTGAAAAAAACTGTTTCATACATAGATAAGATGACAGATATGTAAAAAATGAAGTTTATATGTTAATTATGCAAATACATTAGAATTGTGTGGCATGTATGTTAATCATTCTAACGTAAATAACACTAAAAGAGGTTCACATGAAGAAAAATAATTTTGTCAGATTCATTCGTACAGGTAGATATGTGTATTTAGGTTGTACTATAGATGTATTTATAGTGTGCTCGAGACGTATACTCCAAATCCACAAGTTCGTGTGACTGTATGTAATATTTTCTCCTATATCAATGACTTCAATGACCCACACGAAGTAGAATTATCATGCAGATGGTTGAACGTATAAACATCTTGAATGCAACCATCTGCATAAAATTTTATGGTTGAACGTGGGCCCTAATAACTTTGCAAATGGTGTACAACCATAATATTATTATGACCCACACGGTCATATGTACTTGTGGATTAGTCGTGTATAGCCAGAAAACACTAAGACCCACATGTGGTTATAGGTACTCGGGGTGCACAGCCCTAATCCACAAGTACATATGATCGCATGTAATATTTTCTCCCATATTAAGCCCATAAATGAAGTTTATACCTCTAAAATTTTCTCCCATAAGTTTCCTTTGAAGCCAATTAACATAATATTAAGTTGGTATGATCATAATTATTTTGTAGAATTAGTAAATGTTAGGCCGTAGTCTTTATCATGCTTTCCTTAATGAGAAAGTTATCATACCTTTCCTTTCACGATTTATTAAAAGCACTTTTTCATGGTCTTATCTTGGGCCAAAAGATATATGAGTTCTTCTTATTATTATCTACTTTCATGAGGGGGACTTGTCCTATCTATTATATGCAAATTTTTATCAATGTTTTATGTGAAGATTTACATGCTGATGTGTGGTAGTAAATTCATATTGATAGAGTAATAGATTATCATCTAAATATTGTACGAGAATTTAACACGCACTCATATAAAAGAAAACAATCAGTAGAGACACTATACATTTTTTACGTGAAAACCATGAAAAAGAAAATAAAAATCATGAGGTCTGACACAGTTAAAGAGATCCAATATAATTTGATGATTATAGTTAACAACTATTTGTTCAATATGTAGGAAAGGGTTTATACAGTCTCTTGAGTTATAACGTCGATGTGAAGATGAACTTGTAGTAAGAAGTGGGAGGCGACCGATGGTAATTGACAACAGTTGGCGAGTGTTGGTCAGCGACTAGTAGTTGATGGATCGCTGATGCAGAAGTAATGTTGGGCTTCAGCTCTTTATCCAAGCTTCAATCTTCTTAATACTTCAAGCTTTCTCCTCCCTCTCATAGGGGGATAGAGCTTTATTTATAGAGCCCTGATTGAAATTAATGAAGTAACCTAAATCATTTTGATCGAATGATTCGGAGAGATTCCCTCAATTCGACAATGTTTGATGGACATTTGAGTGTTTTAACAATGTCAAAAGTGAGCGATTTTGAGCTCGTTGTATTTGTTTTACCAAGACGTTTGATTCGACTATAAGCTCGTCAAATTTAACATTCGTTTGACATTCCAAAAATGCCTGAAAAGCTTCTAAAAATAATTTAATGGTTTCATCTATGTTTTGTTTGGTTGGTACTATTGGGTATGCCTCATTGAGATGGTCTAGCCCTCAAATGATGATTTCGGCATAGATCATCCGGTGGGTGGTTTCGTCGATCTGCAAGTCATGGAAACTTGTGTAACGCTGAAATATGACCCTGTAACTCATAGATGAACATTTTAGGGGTTTCAAAACGGGGTTCTGGTATCGATGGGCATCCCGGACCCTCTTGGGGATAAAATCAGCCCGAACCTAAATTTCTTCAAAATATGCATGGGGAATCCTAACGACTACCCTTGGTCTCAAAAGAGTTCAGATTTATGGAGTTGGGTTTCTCAACATCAAAACAAACATAAAGCACGTTAGAGTAAAAGCTAACCCCACTTTATAATGAATTTTTCCGAGTAGGGTCAAGTTGGTACCGATTTTGATTTCATGCTTGGGGCACATACCATGAGGTCTGATTGAATGCCTTGAACGACAGGAAGCTGGACACAACTCTGTGTTGTTTAAATAGACATCCTTTATACGTGACATCAAAAATTGTTATCAACAACGAGGTAAATTTGGGCATGCCTCGTTCCGAATAGCCCCTCTCACAAAGGTACGTGTCGGTTTTATTTTTGTACGCTATGATCATTCATTTTAGATACTTGTATACCTCACTTCTACCCTCACGCCTTATTTCTTATTCATTCCGTACATGTATTGCGAAGTATGTCTGTGCATGGCTTGGACACCGACTGTTTGAACAAGTTCAGAGAATGTGTCATCAACCACCGCGTCAGTGAGATTCTTTAAGCTCTTACATTTTCATTCCTACAGCCCCCTAGGTCAGTTGTTAGTGGATTTAGGTTATGATGTTTTTGTGATAGAGAAAAGCCCCATAGGTAAGGTGCATTTCGATCTGCCTACGAATAGAGAAACCTATCCTTTTCTTCTTAGCCCGAAATCGCTAAGACTAGTTTGTAGTAATCTCATGTTTGCTCTTGTTGTTTCGTTTTTGTGATGGGAAGAACAAAGCCCACTCTTTGGGTCTAAAGAATGGAAGGTCTCATGATCTTGACATTCCCCAGACCACAAAAGTTTTCTCATACGAAAATCTTTCATGCCGGGCAAATCGCAACGAGTGTTTTGATAAATTAAACCAAGAAATCATTATTTTTCAACAATAAATATAGTTTCATGAAATTATTTTGGCTTTTAAAATTTTGCAAGGAATTCCTTCTAAATGAATGGTAAAGGTTCAATGTGCAAGAAAGATTGGACAAAGTTTGAGTTCA